GCTGATATATATATAATTTGAAAATAATTAATAACTCTAAATAAAAATATATAGATTAGATTAAAAGCCTACAAATGATTATCATGTAGCACTACTATTTTTGTTGTCTACATTATTGTCACCGTCACAATTATCACTACCATGAACACCATCATCGTTACTGGTAGTACCATCATCATTGTCGCTACCATCATCACAATCATCATCGTGGTCATCACCAAAATCACACCACCACCACTATCATTATCATTACAATCAGAAATGGTGACAACGATGGTGGTGAAGGCATGACAATAGTAGTAGTTGCGATGATCATTGTGATAACAGTAGTTACAATAGTTATTGTAGCAACGGTAATTGCAATGGTCATTGTAACTCATGTGAAAACAGCTTTTTATATGAAAACATGGAAGAAATTAATAACAATCCTTGAATAAAGACTAAAGTTAATAGTGTTGAGATTTATTTCTTATCATAAACATTTCTTGTGAGTAAAGGACATTAAATAAATTAGTTCACATTTAAGATACATAATATATAGAAAACAAATATGGCTAGTAAGTAACTACAATCGTTCATTGCAAAGAAATTGTTGGTAGTTGAGATTTTTCACTATTATAATTAAATATATATTTTTTAAAGTCTTTGTAGTTCTCTATTTGGTTTGTAATTTGGTTAAATTTTTCTTGTTAAGAAAAAGTAAGTTGTAATTAAACATATTATAATCTCAACTTGTTATAATTTTTCTTAGTCATACACCTTTATTTTTCATGTTCTTTTTCAACATTGTATCAAAAGATTCATTAATTTTTAAGGGTTTGAGAGAGAGAGAGAAAAAACAACAAAATAACCCATACAAAAAAAAAAACTTCAAACACAAAAATGGTTTTCGACAATAATTCTTTACCCCGCACTTCCTATATTTGCAAGTGAAAACTATCACTTGTGGGCTGAGAAAATGAGAACTTATCTTAGAGATTAAAGTTTGTGGGTTATAGTGGAAATGGGAGTGTTGAATCCCAAATGTTTTTAATAATGACAAGTCCTTAGTTCCAAATGTTAGAAGAGTAATCAATTATTTCTAACATATCTGGTAAAGTGTTTCAGACTAAATGTATTATATATCTTATAAGATATACTATTCAGAAAGACATTTAGAATTAGAGACAACTATCATTGATTATCCTTATTCCTTGTTCAAAGTTCTCAAGATTTATGCATTAAGGATCTTCAAATATGAACATCTTCTCTCAGGGAAAGATACCTTGAGGAACCTGAATCATAGTCTTTTTGGTAGAGCCTTCCAAGAAACAAGTCTTAATTGAAGCTCCTTCATAGAAGACTGGCACTAAGGACTTTGTTCAGGAGGTTACTCAAAAGCACAATTAGAGGCACATTCAGAAGGAAGCTTTAAAAGAAACAAGTCTCAGTTTAAACTCAACTTCTTAAAAGATTGGTACTAAAGATCCTATTCAAAAGGTTACTTAGAAGCATACTTAGATAGAAGCTTCAAAAGTAGACTATTTTTGAAGGATATGTTGACAACACTAGGATAAAAGTATAAGATGATGTCAGCACTGATTAAAAGTTAAGCCAACTCCAATGGACCTATTTTGGAGTCTATAAAAGAAAGATTAAGGGAATTGTTTCAAGCACGCACAATGAAAGATAGTCATCAAAGTAAAAGCTTTCATAATTGTAATTCTTGCTTCATACTTTGTGATTTAAAGCTCTCACCATACACATTTGTAATATGATTTATAATAGAAAGAGTGAGAATACTTCCTTAGTGGAAGCTTCTATCTTGGGAGGGTTTCATATAAACCTTTAACAGTTGTTAAGTTTTCTCAAATCTGTAAACACATTTGATTACCCATTCCTAGATTTGGTTTATAGAGGGAAAGAAAGGGTAGAAAAGTTGCAACCAGTTGGTTGTGGTTTGACTTATATAGTTGTGGACTATGAAGTTAGTTTACTCAACAGTTGTTGAGGGTTACTTAGTAGTTGACTAAGGGTGACTTAACAAATAGTAGGTGGCTAGTTTGTGTAGGAAAATCCAATAGGTGTTGGTGGTTTACTCAACAAGTGTTGAGGGAGTTACTTATAGTAAGTAGTTTAAGGGTTCTATACAAACAAAAGATGGCTCGTTTA